AGAAGGGAGAGCAACTGGGGTACCTACTACTTCCGATATTCAGACAGATGCAGGGGTAGATCCTGACGCTATTGTGCACATATGGGAGGCTGTAGATAAGTTAAAAACTTGCTTAAATAGTATTGGCCTTCTAAAGGATGGATGCTTTTAAGGCTCATAATTGATTGATCATTTCAAGCAGCATGTGTAATTGGCACATATATGCAACTCTTGGATCACAACCCACCCACGAAGCTGATTGGAACGCTAACCTAGAAATCTGCACTGCTACAGTTTTGTGTTAATTTCAAAACTGAAATTAAATAAACATTTAATCCTACTTAACCGGAAAAAAATTGTTGAGTTGAAATTCAGACAATTAGATATCATTTCCATTTGTAGCACACTATTCCCTCCCAATTTTTTCAAAACTTTTATTACCCGGTTCCAATTATCACTTTCTGGGTCCCATGCCTATTCAATCCAAAAACTAATCTAATATCTAGGTCCATCCATCACCAACYCATTCTTTTATTTTGCAAAAAATGTTCATTTATTCAATCATGTATATATTAGTTAACTATTATTTTTGTTAATTTCAAATTTACCACAAAACATTATTAAATTTTCTCTCTCTTACTCCAATGGTTGAACCTCCATATCTATTTCCATTTAATCATTATCATTATAACCTCCCACGTGCAACACACGTGCCCTTTTACTAGTATATCCAAAAATTTTTATAAGCTTTATGTTTTTTTTTTGTTTTTTATTATTAATCAAATGCATATTGCAAAATCCAATTTTGATGACATTAACACCTCGTCCAAATATGTGATAATTAGATCGGGTTGTGAATTTTCAAATATCACTGACAAGCCTACCTGTTTGGTTAAACTCTTCTTTTTGTAATATTTTATCTTTTTTTGTTCATTTATCAGAAAAAAATGTAATATTTAAATAGAGAGAATTAAATGAGGTGAAAAGTAGTTTATAATTTAAATCTTACAATTAAATAAGGACCAAATTAAAAAAAAAGAGAGTATTTTAGTCAAAGAAAGTTCCATAATCTTTTTCATATTTTAATAAGTGGAGTAAATATATAATTATAGTCGTGTTCAATTTTTTTATACATTTTTTGTATATAAAGGTAATTTTGATATGCCACATTTACTTTTTGATAAATATATTAGTACAAAAATATAAATATGCGATATTGTACATGTTCCTAAATGCATTTTTTGCAAAGTTTATGTGTTTTTTCATTTTTATATTTTATATTTTGTTAATTTTTATTATTTCCTTATGACATTAAAGKTCAACGCATGTAACCCAAAAGTTGAACCATTTATTATTAATTTTTATATTTTATTTTTGGCCAATTCTAAATTATGTATTTCATTTTCATTGTCAATAAAAATAAGTCTTGTTTATTACAATTATTTTTTAATTTGATTATTAAAAATATAATAAATGTGTCTATTTTTTATAATTTTCTATATCTATTTGTATTTAAAAAATTTTATTACCTAACTAGTACTTCATAGGTTGATCAATTTAATTCTTATGGTTGAATTTCTTATCCACCACTTGGATAAAAATGGTTTTATTTTTTAATCAATTTTTAAAATATATGGGCTTATATTATTAAAAATATTGACATGGATCTAATTAGTAGCATTTATTAGTAAAAAATAACTCAAACATAGGATTTAATAAGATAAAATGAGATTTAATATCTTAAGTATAAGAATTAATAAAAGGGGATTAAATGAGGTGGAAAGTAATAATTGAAGTTATATTTTCAACCCTTACAATTAGAGATGGACTAAATTCGTAAGTATGGGCATTTTAGTAGCTATTAAAGCTATAATAAAATGACTTTTTATACCCTTTATCAAATAAAGAAATGTAGGGCAATTTTAGTCTAAAAATATTGTTAAAAATATTGGCATAGATCTAATTAGTAGCATTTATTAGTAAAAAATAACTCAGACATAGGATTTAATAAAATAAAATGGGATTTAATACCTTAAGTATAAGAATTAATGAGAGGGGATTAAGTAGAAAGTAATAATTGAAGTTATATTTTCAACCCTTACAACTATAGATGGACTAAATACATGAATATGGGCATTTAAATAGCTATTAAAGCTAGTAATAAAGCTATAATAAAATGACTTTTATATCATTTACCAAAAAAAGAAATATAGGGTAATTTTAGTCCAATAAAATTTTCGTATTGCATCCACACTTTTTATACATAGTATAGATTTTGATAATTTAAAAATGAGAAAAATAAAAAAAAACAATATATATTATAAATGCTTCTAAAAAACAATCAGGAAAAAAAAAAGATTGTCAAAATTAACCAAAAAAACAGGAAAGTGCCAACTTGGTGCATTCCATTTTAATATAAAGACATGGTTTAGGGTAACCACAAAGGAGAGTTTCTTGATTTTCATGAGGTATTCTCCCAAAAAAAAAAAGAGGTTATTTTTTCTGTTTTCTTTTTCTTTTAATTTGGTAATGGTCTACAATGCTAGTAAAAAGCAGGTAACCCTCCCCCAAACCCATCCTAGACCCCCATCTTGGGTGATAAATCATCATGGCCGGTGATAACAACTCTAATGATTGTACATGCAGATCATCAAATTTCTAATAATAAAATTGTCCCTTTGTGTGGACTGTTCATGCAGATGAACTCTAATGATCATTCATGTAGATCAACAAAATTCTAGCCATGAGATTGTTGATATGTGCACACTATTCATGTAAAACAACTCCAAGTCTCCAATGATAACAATTTTGTTTCCTTTGCAATTTCTTGACCACAAGATCAACAGATTTTGATCAGGGTTAGAGGGGGGGGGGGGAGATGGTGAATAAGACTAGTTTGGTTCCTTGATTGTAGATTGTAGAAAAAAAAACAAAAGAAGAATAAGAAGTGCCAAATGCCTACAATATTTATTGTGAAAATGTGGAAATTTCATAAATCATAATTCATTCTCTTATGAAAAATCCTAAGAATGAAACAAATTATAGAATAGGGGAAAATCTATCTGCTAAAAGACATGATACTAAAGAGCTTTGATCAATCAAAGCCCACTCACGAATTTTGATAAATAGCAACTGATTGGTTAGCACGTTGATGATACATGTTGATTAGTCACAACATTCTTCGGATGTAATATCTTTCTAGTATCATATTCGAACCCATATAATAGATGCCAAATGAAACCTTTGAGTTCAGCTTTAGTTAGTGCAAAGTCCATTCCAACAGCATTGCATTGGGAATATCTCCGTATTTATGTGGTTTATTTCATGGGGAGATATTCCCAATGCAAGGTTGCAAGAGAGTGTTCGAACAGTGTTAGCACAGGCTTGCACCGATTGAAGCCGGGTCCGAAGCCTTTGCTAGCAGGGTGGCTGACACCTTGAAGAACCAATCCCATGAGGTGAGAACTGAGAAGCGGCCTGTATTCCCGTAGGCTGCATTTGTTTGAAGTGTAAATTCATTTTTACACCGATGAAAAAGGTGGTGCTGGTTCAGTGGTTGATGGAAAATTAAACTGAGTGGATTTGAATTTTTACACTGATGACATTTGGTTGTCACAATGTAAATGTGAAGCTTCCCACTTTGTTTTTGCTCTGAAACTCTTCCTTTCGTCGAACCTAGTTTTTGCTCTCAAGAACTCTCATTGCTCTAAAATTCTCCCGGGTGGCTTCTGTTTATGCTCTGAAGCATCCTCTTCTTTCAGCCTTTGGTAGATATCCAAAGAGGGCTATACTTGTTACATCTAAATGTCCTCTCCACTCACACCGCGACTACAATTGTTGTCTATGTAATGAAGATGCAATGGAACTCTTGGACTCAAGTTCTAACATCGGAGAGGTCAAGAAAACTTGAACAGGAACCCATATGCCCTACACCATGAACGAGAACATTGATCTTGTGTGCTTTGAGATGGTGGAAACGCCGGTCGAACCCAATTGACCATTGCAGTGTTGAGAAGAGGTGCAAGCTCCGGTTTGTTGTCGTTGGTACCAATATGGGTGAAGGAACAGATGAAAACTTCTTATGATGGTGAAGAAGCTTGTGGCGTGGAGGCTGAGCAGGGAAGGTAATGTTTTGTTCAAATATGATTGAGCAGCACTACTTGTCTTGCAAATCTACGCGGTTTAATACAGTCCACAAATCTACAACACCGATGGTGAAGTCTTCATCGTTGGAAACTTAGATTCTTTGATTTACAGTGGAACGACGACACAAGTGAGATATCCAAAAGAAATAGTAGTTGATTGGAAAAGGGGGAGAACAGCTATTGCCGAAAGTTGTAGTGGTAGAGAGGAATAGGCGAGAGTGGACACCGGGGAGGAAGAAGAATAAGGAAAGAGAGAGARTCTATCGATTTTTGAAAAGATGAAATTTTACATTGGTTTTATCGATGATAAATTCTCAACCGTTTTCGATGTAGAACTTACCTAAAGTGGAGTTTTACACTCATCAATGTAAAATAACATTTCATTTAAATATTAGCAAGACTAATCCGGAGTGTAACGTTTACCCCATTTTACATTTACATCTCAAATAAACGCCCACCGAGTTTGGAAAGAGTACAACTACAAATATATACTRTATAAATACATACAAAATACAAAATTTTACACTATACATTTGTATTTCTATTCCTTCCAAACTCAGCCCAAGGAAAAACTCTACAATACGGCGTCTGGCCGTACAACGAGAATATCTCTCTTAGATTTGCGTTAAATTGATAGGAAATATTTCCTCTGCAGTTGGATGCCTGTGGTTTAGGAACCCAGCACATTTGGAAATCATTTGGAGATGTTCCCAATTTGCGGTTGGATGCTAGCGCGAAGAGTTTTTTTCTTGCAGGAGATCCGGAACACAGTTCCATGTAAATAGAGGAGGGCATTTTCGTCATTCGAAGATCAAACGAGTACGGTATTCAACACAGTCTCTCCTGCACGCGTTTTTTAAACAATTCCTCTCTCCCAAGTTGTACGGCGGGTCCCTCAATTCATAGAGAGAGAGGACGTTCTGGGAAGTGGAACCGCTCTTCGCCATCACACTTTTCAGTATGCAATGGTTTGATGAATCCTTTGAGGTCTATTTCATATCATGGTTTTCTCTCCATTTCGTTTCTCAGTTAAATGCTTTATATTATTTCTTTTTTTTTTTTTGTTTCCTTTCCCAGATTAGCATATAATTTCACCATTTCGGTACTTTAGCTCACAAAGCTGAAGGAAGCAGGGATCAAAGACCGAGGTATTTGTTTCTTTCTCTTGTGTTCTTGCATGTGCTTTTGCTGCTCTTGATTTTCGTCCACTTCTTCTATTTAATTTAATGGTAGTGAGTAGTAACCGTCAATGCTCGTGTATTTTTCAGAATCCGTGATTAGAGTTCTGTTTTGATATTTAGTAACGATGTATATGTTTCATCTAGATTTCTGTCCAGTTCTTCACTTCTGMATGAAATTCGGGATACCATGAGCTCTGTAGATGCATTTTGTGTTGCCACATGCTTTTCGCTCTAGAAATAAGTATTATGTTTTATCGGATTTTGTTGAACTTGAAGATATAACCTATGATAGAGTTGAATGGAAAACCGGGTCAATGTAGAGGTTGGAACTATGCTTTCTTAAGTTGTCAACTCCAGTTGGTCTATCGAGTGATGCTATAAGCTAAGGCAATAATTATATACCCACATATGGAAAGACATGACTTGACAAGGTGTGGACATGAAATTTGTTCTAAAATATAAAGTGTGTGACATGATAAGGTACCTGTTACAGTTATCCAATTATAGGCCAGAAGGCATGGCGATTTGGATGCCTAAAAGTTTGGCGAGAGCAAATAGCTAGGATAAGGTTTGAGTTGCATTGAATTAAATTCTTTGTCAACTTTTCAAGTTCTGTTATAAGACATGGCCATTTATGGAGAGGACTGGCAAAGGAGGATTCTTGTAAGCTAGCCCCAACAATTGTGGCGAGGATTTATTCAGTTGGGATGTCATATTGTTGGGTATTGTTTACCAAATATCAAGTTACCTCTAAAAGAATCATGCAAAATGTAACTTCATCTTATGTTTGGTCAAAGCTTACAAGAAGAAGAAAAGGTATGACCTGTTTATCATTGTATATTCTTTTATTGTAAGGAACATGACTTGGTACAATGGTAAAATCTTGTGCTGATAAGCATGAGACTGTGAATTTAAGTCTGAGTGGTCATTTGTGCAAGAAAATGCCAAAGGTTAGGTCTGTATCCTGTCCACTTGTCCGGTTGTCCCAAGACCTTGGATAGCCTGGACTAACATTGGGTAATGACCCTTTAGTATAATTATTTGTCTTCTAGATGATTGCCATCAGCATGGTGAGAGCACACACATTTCTTTTTGTCAGAAGTAGTTTCAGTTAATTTTGTAATAAAATTTGCATACTCATTTGATTTGTGTATCATCTTTTGGCAAGAGTTGTTTCTTCTTTTAAATTAGCTATTGCGATGTGTATTTTTGTCTCCACCTATCCAGGTATTTTTGTAAACTTTGAAAGTATTATATTATCATAAAGATATCAAGACTAATCTCAACCAAGGAACAAGAAGAGGAATCTGATCTAAAATGATCAGTTTTAGATTAACCCCCATACCCAATGAGCCTTATTAGTAAATAAAGGCTTTGCAACAGTAGTAGGAATGCCCTTATGGGATATGAAAAAATTAGAAGAAAGATACATATGATACAATGTTACTGCTGTACACTAATACAATACGACAAACCCCCTTAACATTTGCCCATCTTATGGAACATGTGAACTAGTTTCTCATCTGGATACCTTTAAAATTTAAAAAGGATATTGAGATATGGTTAGCTTTATTAACTACCACAAAGGCTGTAATAGGAATTCCCTCCTTATTCTACTGCTTTCTGGATCTTGAAATTTAACTAAAATGGGTCCATGTTGGATAAGGGAAGTAGTGGAATTTTGGCTGATTTTTTTGTCCTTTTGGTGGATTTTATTTTATTTTTTGGGGGGAGGTATTTCAAAGCATCTCTCTGTAAGATCTTTCCTAAATTAACAAGTAGCTCTTTCTCTATCTTCTTGCAAGAAACTTTTCTTGCTTACTTCTTTTGTTCCCAAAAGCAACTTGAAACTGGGAGAACTATTGGTGAATGTTGCCAGAATTTTTAAATTTGAAATATAAGTATTTAGTTCATTGGGTTCCACCAAAACAAATGGAAAAACTTGAGCTAATGACTATTGCCCCAACATTGTTCCATATGAAAATTATTTTAAATTGACACATAGTCTTCTTTGATTCTGCTCTTTCCCTTTTTTCTTACATATTGCAAAAAGGGCAAAGATTTCAAAGAACCTATCCTCTTTCAAACCTGCAATTTAAAATTGTTTTTGGGTAATCTAGCTCTTGTGTTATTTGAAACATAAATGGAAATAATCCATTTTATTTCTTCATAGTGTTAAGTAAATTATTCAGAAAATAATTTCCCTCAACAACTGTAGTATTTTTTAGTTTCTTTGGAAATGCCGTATATCATGCTGATACTAGATTTTGGTTTTGGTTGTGGAATTGATGTAGTCTAAACAAGAGATGGAAGAGGACCACTTATCAACAATTACTTTAGATGGAGAGATAACTGGGATCAGGTTTAATTTAGCAACTTCTCAAGAAATTGTAAGATACTAAGAACACTTTGTTCTTTGCCATTGCTTTTTTTTGTTCTTTTTGTTTTTTTTTTTCTCTAGTATCCTAATCTAGTTTTGAAGTACTCTTGTGGTGGATTCATGGAGCATTTTGATTTAGCTACTTCTAGTGCAACTAAAGTGGTTACTTGTTAATCCTTATGTTCAGAGTTATAGCACATGAATATAATGCAGGAAAGTACTTCTGGTAGTGAAAGTAACCTTAGTATCTCTTTTAGGATGTACATGAATATAGCACATGAATATTAGTTGATTGTTTCTTACTGCAACCTGGTAGCTCAACTAATTTCTGGTGGCTTTGTGTATGCTTTGTGCTTAAGACAAAGTTAAGAATGTAGGTAGTGACTACTACAGAATTAACTGGACTAGTACATTAGTGACTGTGAAAAGTTTTTTTGATAAATATGAACAAATGATATATGTGCACAATACAAATTATGTTTGCTGTGTACACAGTCCCAACCCATTAATTTGTTATACTATTTATGTTGCAATTGTGCCCAAAAGAATGCTGCCCTACTGACCCCTTGTTTGGCTAGCATATCAGCCAAACCATATGCTGAATTGCTGATCTTTGGATCCACCAGAAGCTAACCACCCTTCCATTTGCAAGCCGCCTGATCTCCCTCATGTTCCATTGTTTGGTTGCGTAAGGGAAAATAGTGGGAAAATAAACCCTAGTAACAATTATTAATTAATTAGTAATATTTTTATTATTTTATATTTACCATTATTAATTACTAATCATTGATATTAATGAAATATCTTTATAATTAATTAATATTGATAATTATTTAAATAATTGTTAATTAAGAATTAAAATTTTAAAATTTTTGTTATTAATATCTACTATGAATTAATTAATAATTTTATTTTTACTATTAATTATTTAACATTTTATTATTTAATTATTTTCATTGAATCATTAATTAGATTAATAATAATATCATTGTTTATTTATTCATTAATTACTTAGTTAATTAATTATTAACTTTTTTTTGTTAATTATTAATTAGTTAATAATACTTTTTATTATTTAATATTTTATTATTAATTAGATATTAATTATTTAAAATCCATAATTATTTAAGTAATTAATATTTTACATTTTATCAGTTTATAATTTATTGTTAATATTATATTTTATTAATACCCATGACTTAATTAATAACTTTAATATTTTAATATTAAATATTCATAAATTATTAAATAGTTTTTTAATTAAATTATTAATTATAAAATAATATTTAATTATTAAGTAATTAGTAAATTAATTTATTCTTAAATATTTTGTTGTTAATTCTTAATATTTTTATGATTTAGTATTTTATTCTGAATTATTAATTTGATATTGATTAGTTAATTAATTATTACCAATAATTAATATTTTATTTTTTATTGGTTTATATTTTAATGTTAATATTTTATTTTATTAATACTTATGACTTAATTACTAGTTTTAACATCTTATTCTGAAAAATAATTAATTATTAAATTATTTATTGATTAATATTTTAATAATTATCGACTTTATGCTATTTATTAATTTTTAATTAAATTATTATATTAACATGTTATTAAATAATTTATAATTTATTTATTGGTCATGGATCTAGTATTAACTCTTAGAAATACTACAAGGAAGGTGTTTTTCTTTTGTTAAATAAGTTTCCCCCTACATTCCCACTTATTTCCCACCAAAATGGTGGGAATTCACATTCGAAGAATTGGGATCTATAATGCCACTGGTTTCCCATCCCATCTCATGACATCCCACAAGCCAAACATGGGAAAAGAGGAATGTTTTAGAATATTCCATATTTTCCCTTTGCATCCCACAAACCAAATGGAGCCTAAGGGTGAAATGGAGGGAATGAAGTTTCATAGGAAGTTGTAGGAAGTAAAAGTCGTTATCAAAGAGTGAAATATTCAACAATTTGGAAGATTAGAGGAAAGGAAGTAGGAGGTGATTAGTCAAATTGAGGAGGTGGCATAGTTGTCAAGGCGACGCCTAGGTAGGCGCCTAGGCGACAAGGCGCCCTTGGAGTCTTGCCTCGCTTGCCAAGCAGTTTTCTATCGCATGTTATAACAAACTTTTATATTCTTTTTTTCTTGATTTATAATTATAAAATAAACATTTTTAAACTAAAATATTCATTTTGTGTGTTTATATACTAATTTCTTTTTGTTATTTTCTTATTTGTTAGGGTTTAATCAACACAAACATTGCTAAATGCTGTATTGAACCCTCAAAGACTTCAAAACCTGAACCAATAAGTAAGAAAGAAAATAAAATGTTGTCCAATCAACACATTTTCTTCTTTTTCTTTACTAATTTTGTGTTTTTATATACTAATTTCTTCTTCTTCTTCTTTTGCCTTTTCTTTTCTTCTTTTCTTCTTTTTCTATAACAGAAATAAGGGTTCAGCCCCTATATTTTTTGAATTTTCTTTTCTTTCTTCTTTTTCTTCTCATGAATATGTTGGAATATGTTGATTTTCTATACTTTAACATGAACTTTATACTTTTCTTATGAAAATTATGGATATTTATTAAGGAAATATGACTATAGAACCTAGGGAACTACCAGTGTTTTAAAAGCGCAAGGCGCAAAAAAAGCGCAAGGCGCAAAAAAAGCGCAAGGGCCAATTTGCACCTGAGGCACAAGGTGAGGCCCGCGCCTTTTTAAGAAAGGCACAAAACTACAAAAAAAGCTAAAAAATTAAAAAAGTCAGAAAATTCAAAAAAAAGCCAAAAACTTAAAAAAATGCAAAAAATATTAAACATAATGTTAATAAAAAATATAAACTTAAATTTTAAAATAAATGATTTAAAAAACATATTATCTAAAATTAAAATACATAAGCATAACCTGTAAAGTGTATTCAAATGAAAATTTAAAAATAAAATCAAACATATAAAGCTTTTTCAAGCATGTAAAACCCACAATCTCTTTTTTCCTTAAGTGCATTGTTTCAAGTAGTTAATGTGATGTAAAACATATTGCATTCTTGATTCTATGAGTTGCCTTTGTATCACGCCCCTCGAGGCAAGCCTGAACAAGTCTATGTTAGGGTCTGAAATTCTTATTTCTCACATAAAAAATAATGATTTTATAACTTTCATTGCCTTTTAAGAAGATATTTTATTGTAATGAATGAATGAACAACATTAGCAAATAGGGGGCTAAGCTGTAACTATAGTGTGTTTTTTCTTTCTTTTTTTCCTTTTCATGAGGTTCTTTGCTACTTTTGGAAGATAAATGTGTTTGTCTTCCTCTTGTAAATCTTCTATTGATGATTTAATGAAAGTGTTATTGATAAAAAAAAAATAGGGGGTGGTCTCGAGGGGCGTGGTTGGGGGTCCGAGGGCGGAGCCCCCGGCCCAGCCGTTAGACTAAAAAAAAGCACAAAATTTTAAAAAGGCGCTTGCCTGGGCTGAGGCGTAAGGCGCACAAGGCGCGTGCCTTTTGAAAGGGTCGCCTCGGACCTGGGCGAGGCGCATACCCCAAAATGTGCCTTGCCTATGCGCCTAGGCATGCCTGAGGCGCGCCTTTTAAATCAATGGGGACTACCCTAGGATACATGCTTTTACTTAAAAAAATCCATCGCCTAGGCGACTAGGCACCCCCCTCCCCCTCGGTCGCCTACCCTCGCCTTGGCGCCTTGAAAACTATGGGAGGTGGATTCAAAAGAAAGCTTAGGTTCCTTTGAAGAGAGAGATAAGTGAGAGAGATGGTCTTTGAGGAAGTAATTAGAGGATATTCTGTTTAAGGAGGATATTAGTTGGGGACAAAAATCCAGGAGTAAATGGACAAAGGAGGGAGATGGAAATACAACATTTTTCATGCAATGGCAAACAAAAGGAGGAAAATTATATTTCAAAATTGGTGGATGGGGTAACTGTCACTCAACAAAATGAGATGGGGCATTTGTGGATTGTTTTAAATATATTTTCATGAGAGCTTTGAATGGAAGAGTGTGGCTTGTCGGATTGGAATGCCCAAAATTATCAGATGACCTTTAATTGTGGTTGATAAAGAGATTTGAGTTGGAGGAAGTAAAGGAAGCAATTTTCTCTATGGATAGATCGAAAGCATCTGGTCTATATGGTTTTACAATGGCCTTTTAGTAAGATTGCTGGGACATTTTAAGGATGACATTCAGATGGTTTTCAATGAATTCTTCTCGGGGAGTGATAAATCTTGGTTTGGACTCCACTTTTCTTGCTTTGATTCCAAAGAAGGGTGAGGCAAATTGCGACACATCTTAGAAAGTTCAGACCTATAATCTTGGTAAATATCTTGTATAAAATTATAGCCAAGGTGTTTCTTGGAGGATTAGGCATGCCCTTCCTTCTATCATTTCACCTTTTTTCAAGGGGCATTTTTGAAAGATAGGCAGCAAATCGTTGTTCAAATTTTAATTGCCCATGAAAGTGTTGAGGAGATAAAAAGGAGTGGAAGGAAGGGCCTTGTTTGTCAGTTGGATCTGGAAAAGGCCTATGATATGGCTGATTTGGGTGCTGATTACTCATCAACAATTTGCTAATGACACAATCCTTTACTATAAAAAAAGGAATCTTCAAGTATCCTTTTAAGTTTTTTGGGCGATGTTCGGCACCGTGTTCATCTCGTGGACGAGATTGTTTCGGTTCCATCCACACCCTAATTTCTCATCCACGGCAAAAACTCGTGGTTAGGGGCCGTCCACACTATTTTTGATCCCCTGCTTCACACTCTCCCTGAAAGGCTGAAACCCTATTGTCTGTTTCACATTTTAATATTTTTTAATAAACTATTAATTATTTTACTTTTTTTTATTTTTTTAATGTTTTTATCAATAAAATAATATTTTTAAATATTTAAAATATATTTTTTAAAATTTTAATTATTTTACTATTGTTTTTATAAAAAAAATAATATTTATTGGTTAATATTAATTCATTGATGCATTTTTTAATATATTTTTCATATGAAATGTAAAAATTAGATATTTATCATTAACTGTGTAGATCAAGGTTTTTGAACCGCCGTTGACCTGAACAGTCGGATCGGGAACCGTCCAGGCAAGTGGTTCCGTTTTACCCTAAACCCAGTTTTTGGCAAAAAATCGTTGAAAAAGTCAACCCGTTGACCCAGGCGGTTGAACTGTCAACCCGTTCATTGGTTTTGACCGTTTTTTATTTTTAATTATTATTTTTTTTTTATTTTTTCATTTGTTCGTCAGAACGGGCYGTCCATTCAAACCAGACGGTTGGATCGTCGACCCAGAAACCGGTAGCCAGAACGGTTCTGTTTCTGGGTCGTTTTTTAAAACGTTGGTGTAAATCATTCATAAATATATATGAGATACATAGAATAAAAAAGTGTGGTGTGGACTGGGCCACACCACGCTTACAGAACGCCATTGTGGGTGTGGACTGGTCCAGTCTACATAGTTTGTCCATAGTTCAGAACAGCTGTGGACTGTGGTGTGGTGTGCATTGGTTCCTGCCACAGGGTGTGGTGTGGACCAGTCCACACCCACCAATTTCTCACTCATCCACACTACAGAACACCCCCTTGGTCTGTCCCTTGGCACCAGCCCTTGGTCAGTGGAGATTTTGAGATATATATATGGATTGGTTTTCTGAGGACCTATTTTAGCTTTAAGGAAAATTACATGCTACGTGAGAACAGGTCAGTGTTATTTAAATTGATTTGCTCTAATATGTCTTTCTATTTCTCTATTTATAGGCCCTCCCCTGTTAAGATAAAAGTATGAGGTTATTATAATATATCTTAAGGAACCATAGATCTCAAATTCTTATAATGAGTTGCATTTCCATGTAATTAGTCAGTGACCATCCTTGATATTGTTGCTTTAAGYACTTTTAATATATGCTGTTTCTCATGATGCAATTTGTTGTTAGAAATTTTCCATGACTGTTCTCCCTTTTGTCTTTTTTATAGTGTACATCATCTGTCAATGACTGTCCAATCAGCCATCCTAGTCAGCTCACAAATCCTTTCCTTGGTCTACCCTTGGAATATGGTAATTGTGAATCGTGTGGTACTTCTGAGCCAGGAAAATGTGAAGGTACGTAACTTGATGCATATATTTCTATTGCTTACTCTATTTTAGGACATATTGTTTGTAAAAATGAAGCATAGTATAAATATATTTCACTTAATTGTTATGTATTTTTGGAAGTGGCAAGCTTTCTTCAATATCCCCATGGTAACATATTGCATTATTGTTCTGATTCAGGACATTTTGGATACATTCAGTTACCAGTACCAATATATCACCCTTGCCATGTTAGTGAATTGAAGCACATTTTAGACTTGATATGCTTGAAGTGCTTGAGAATGAAGATGAGGAAGGTAATGATATCCTCTAACAAAGTAACAAGAACAAGCTGCCTTTTTTTTTCAAGTGGCTTTTTCTTGCCCATGGATGACAATACTTTGGAAATTATATGATCCATTCATTTCCATGCTTGTCTTTCCAAACTTATTTGAGATCTATAGGATGCTTTTCTTGTTTTCTTTGTCAATCTCTGAGATGTTGTACTTGTTCCCTGATTTATGTGAAAATATCATCATCATCATCATCATCATCATCATCTAAGCCTTGTCCCATCTATATGGTGTTGACTACATGAATCCTGTTTTTTCCATACCCTTCTTCTTTCTGATCAGTAAAAAGAGATTTTGTTAATATCAAATTCAAGTATTACAAATAGGTGGGGTTTATTTTTCCACCCTAAAGACACTTTATGATTTATAATTTTGCCCAAAACATTTGATGCCTGATTGCCCCTTGTTTAGCCCAAAATCCGCTACCCCATTTGCYGATCTTCTTACCCATTTAAAGACCACATTCAACTACTTTGCTATGCTTTCTATTTCCCAGAAAGTATGTCTATAGATCCATGGGATTTGAGAGCTACATTTTGTCCATGAAATGACCACCTAAGAGTCCCTTCCATCTTCAAGTTGTGGAAGCTGAATTGCATAGTAAACTTTAAACCATGGAGCAATCCACACGGCTCTGTTGCCAATGCATGACCATCTACTAATAGTCTTGAAAACAATGCTAACATCTTTCCTTCTATGTCTCAAAAGACCCCTCCTAGTCTAGTCATTGCTTGATCACCAATATAACTCCCATCAAAATTGAGTTTAATAAAGTTGGTTACTAGGGGTCGCCATTCCATATTTACTCTTTCCTTGGCTTGAGCCAATAATGCCACTTCCTTCCAAGTTCTCAAAATGTCATTTGTTGAGAAACCTTGGAAATCCTCTAGGGTCCTCACCAATGCGCCACTTTAATTCACTATATCAAAGATTTCCATCTCGGTTCTACTCAGTAGATAACATGACAGCTTTCACTGCTTTCCACATAATTCTTCCCCTTTTCTTTGGCTGTCTTAAGAAGTTTGGGTCAAAGAGACCCACCACATCCTGAGTAGTCCACCTGCACCTAGAGAAAGAACAAAGATGCTCCCAAATACAAAGTGCAAAAGGGCATGATAAAAAGATATAGGAGATGGTATCACCATTGTTTTTTCACAGAAAGGGGATAGGCACTTATTTGGCCTTCTTTTTGTAGCATATCACAAGTCTTAATCTTTCCAAGGAAAGTTTCCCAACAAAGTGCTTGAATTTTAGGAGGGATTAGCCTACTCCAAATTTCTTTCACAGGGAAATTTATCCCCAAGGTTGAAGGCTGAACTAAGAAGTTGAAAAACGAAGCACAAGTGAAAAGACCATATGAAGTAATGGACCAAACCCTGTTATCCTCTAAATTTTGAGCCAAAAAAAGTAAAGACTGAACGAAAGATGAACGTGAGATTCACATTTTGTTTCCCTAATGTCCCTTCTGAATCCAAGATCCCAATTTAGGCCTGATGTAGAGCTCACAAACTTAGGGATGGGTTAAAAGTTGTAGCAGGAAAGTCCATAAAGCACAAGAAAATGGACCTTTAGTGGTTGTGCACTTATCCAAAGGTCCTCCCAAAACAAGATTCTTAAACCATTTTCAACATCATACCGGATGAGATTCACAAAGGAAGGATATACCTCAAAATTTTCAGTGGGAAATTGAAGTTGCACTGGAAGCTACCCTTGCATCCCAACCATTGTCCATTTGACCATGTATGCTTGCAATTACCTTGTGCCAATGCCTATCACTTTCTAAAGGAAAAATTAGCTTAGGGATGAACCCCACTTTCATAGCTTTGGTCCCTAAGAAACCAGATGCTACCCATCCAATGAATTTCTGACCTATCAGTCTAGTAACCAGCATTTACAAGATCATTGCTAAGGTCCTATCCATTAGGGTGAAAAAGTTCCTCCCATCTCTGATTTCTCAGTTTCAAGGAGCCTTCATTCAAGATAGGCAAATTGTGGATAAGATTTTAATTGCTAATGAATGTGTTGAGGCCCAGAAGAGATTAAGAAAGAAAGGAATTGTGGTTAGAATTACACCTCTAGGTGACAACCCCAAGTCACTCAACTTTTGGAACCCAATTGTGGAAAGGTTTGAGAAGCGTTTAGCTGGTTGGAAACACAATTATTTTCTCTGGGTGGGAGAAGAACTTTGATAAAATCCACCTTAGCTAACCTTCCTGTTTATTATGTTGGTTTTCAGGATGCCCCAAGTTGTGGTGAAAAAAATTGAGAAGATTATGAGGGACTTCTTGTGGGAACCTGGGGAAGGGAAGAAGGATCACTTGCTTAGTTGGGAGAAGGTAATAAAGTTAAAAGCAGATGGGGGGTTAGGGATTAGTAACCTGAGAAAACCAGGCATTGTTGAGTAAATGGCTATGGAGATTCCCGAACGAGGATCAAAGACTTTGGCATAAAGTGGTGGCAAGTGTGCATGGGCTGTCAAACAATGGCTGGGGTGCTGGTTGTCTTCATAGAGCTACCATGGCTACTCTTTGGAAATCCATCCATGACTCTCTTCCTAACATCCTTAGCAATATCTGTTATGACTTGGTCTCTCTGTGGTCAGAAGATTAGGTTTTGGGAAGATATTTGGCTTGGGGAATCCCCTTTCATGGAGACTTTTCCCTCTCTTTACATTCTTTCCAATCTCAAAGGTAGATCAGTGTCAAAATTTATTAGTCCCTTTCTCTCCCCTCTTGAGCTGAACTGGAACTTGGGCTTCACTATAAGGGTGGCTCATTGGGTTAAAAGATTGGAGCTGCTTTCAGATTTTCAGGTTGGTGATTTTTTCAGATTTTGGGGAGCAATTGTTGCTTCCTCTTCCAGAATACAGATAGCGTCAGTGGACTGGTCACCTCCATCAAGTGGCTGGCTGAAGCTGAATTATGATGGGAGCTGCGTGGGAAATCCTGGCTCCTTAGGAATTGGAGGAGTTATCAGAGATGAAGAAGGAAATATATGTGCTCTTTTCTCAGGTCCAATTGAGAAAGGTGATGTGACATCTGCAGAATTTTGGGCAGCTGTTTTTGGAGTTGAGAAAGCCAAAGAATTGGGTATTGAACACTTAATTATTGATGATGACTCCAAAATAGTGTTGAATGGCTAAAGAAAGGAGGAGTATCTTGGCCTCTAAGGAATGTTCCTAGGAATTTCAAGTGGCACTTAGGGGCATGTCTATTCAGGTTTGTGAATAGTTCGATTAGCCCCAATTCAGTTCTAGGTCTTAAGTAAGTAAGAAGAGAAGAAGAAAATGAGTGAGAGAGAAAAGAAGAAGAAAAGTCACTCTTAGCCGACCCACTTTGTATTTATACTCTATGTATTAGATTACAAAAGACATATTTATCCCTCATTAAGTATGGGACACACAACTTAAATCCAGACGGAATGGGCAATTTAACTTTAGTTACATAGACAAACGACTCAACTCCCCTTGTACTATCGATTCTAACACTCCCCTTCAAGCCAGAGAATATATATCATATAGTCCCAGCTTGTCACATATGTTCAAAGCTTGTTTAGCTCTTCGTTCATTCAATGACCAAACAAAAGGGGAAGGATTA